ATAAGAAAACTGTATCAAAGTAAGCCCAAATCCCCCAAATTCCACCACCCTGAGATAACCTCTGCTCTTACAAGGCTACATCAAAATGTTCATGGAAAATGGAATTAAAAGATAAGTTTATTTTCAGAAATTTTGAAATCCATGTGTATGAAAAGTTGTCCAAAAAGCAACAGGAAATGAGTAACGTGAAAAAAACTATGCATGGATCTCAAAGTTTTTGCACACACACAAAAAAACTTACCTGTTAATTCTATTTTCCACAAACTTTTTGAAATACACTTATATTTTTTAACATGTTTCATCCATCAGAGAGTGCATTTAGACACACATGTATGATCCAAGCACACTCTCATGTGCAAACCGGGTGCTCCTGTTCAGGTATGATTCCTGTGGCATAGCTGGGCTCAGGGGCTCAAACGTTCAAGCCGCATGTGCAGCAGGAAGTCTGCTGTGCAGCCCAGCTGCTCCCTGCGAGCGTCTTGCACACAGGTGTCTCCTGTCTGCACAGGTGTCTTGAGGGGGAGCCGACAGATAAAGGCATTGATTGTGGTGTAAGGACATGAATTGACTGAGCACCAGCTGAACTCAGTGAGTAACATCCTGAGTTGTGGGTCAAGTTCACAGCCCCCAAAGCAGCCAAACAGGTGGAAACTAATGTTCCGCCTAGACCAGGGAAGGTCTCCAAGCCAACTCCACCCAAGGCCCTTCAATGCCAGCCTTTCCCACTTCCTATCACCAATCCATGCACAGAGTCACAAAGATCTGTGAGACTGTGCGACCCCACTGTTCCCTCCTGCACAACCGTGCTTTCCTAGGGGCAACACAGGTCTGTGACCCGCTTGTCCAGGACACTGGGGAGACCCGCTCATCCCCTGCAGCCCCTCCACACCGACTTAGACACAACACAAATCCAGCCTCCAGCAGAGCACCCTGCTACACAGCCGTCACTTCACCTGAATGGGACTGTGCTGTCTGCCTCCTACAGTGCGATTTTAAATGAGCCTTGCTACTGGGGTGTGGACAGCTTTCTACACCGTGCTGTTTTTGAGAAATCGATCTGATTGCAAAGCAAGTAATCACAAAAGTGTCATCCCTGATGGTCTAGGCACTCATCTGCCAGATTCACACCCCATCTGTGGGGAGCAACTGGGAGCAACTCGGACTAGACTAAGTTACTGGAATTAAGACTTATTCTATGCATCTGCTCTCCCACAATATGGCGCTGGGAGAAGAGGAAACAGCTTCTACACAGCTGCCTCTCACCAACTTGACAAGCTGCAGGACCTGCTCCTGATTGGAGGAGAGCAGCGTACTCGGCGTGTGGGTAGCAGAGTTGGGATTGGTGGAAAAGGACTATAAAGGAGGAGAGAGACAACATGCACCAGGAACATCTAAGAGGAACACCTGTACAGCCCCCGAGAGAGCCTGCCGGCGGTGTGCCGCTCCCCCGCGGAAGTGGGGAAAGTGGCAGGGGGAACCGCCCTTCCACGGAGGTGGAAGGGACGGTAGCCAACCCAGGAAGAACCAGCAGCAGACCCGGGGAGGGCCGAGCAGACAAAAGAACAGCGCAGGGTCCTGTGTCGTTCCTCCACGAAGAGGGGGAGCGACACCCATCGACCAAAGTTTTGTGCTCACCGAATGAAACATACGGGCTTTAATTATTTATGCAGAAGGTACAGCCTTTTCTAAAACATAGTTGTTTCCCAACTGGTCACCTCTGAGCTTTCTGCCTTCTGGGTTGAATTGGTATAGAATCAGGGCAGGAGGTTGGGGTCAGGTTGGGGGTAAGAACATGCAGTGTAAGACAAAGTCTATAGGATCTCAGGGCTAGCAGGGATTTGCTAAGTTATCTTCAAGCCTCTACCTCACCCCTTTAGTGACACAGAACTCATCACTTTACCAGGATGACCCATGAGCTCTTTACACCCTTGAGTAGCTCCACTGATGACAAAAAAAAAATTTCCTGGGACTGGCAATGTAGCAGAGCACCTGCAATGCCAGCATCCCATATCGGTGCCGGTTCATCCCCTGGCTGCTCTACTTCCAATTTGACTCCCTGCTAATGGCCCAGGAAAGCAGTGGAAAATAGCCCAATTGCTTGGGACCCTGCAACCACCTGGGAGACCCAGATGAAGCTCCTGGCTTCTGGCTTCAGATCGGCGCAGCTCCAGCAGTTGCGGCCATTTGGGGAGTGAACCAGCGGATGGAAGATCTCTGTGTGTGTGTGCATGCCTCTGCCTCTCTGTAACTCAACCTTTCAAATAAATAAATAAAAATCTTTAAAAATAAAAAAAAGAAAGTCTGTCCTGTGTGGATCTCAACTCCATTTTCCTAAAGGTTCTGGTTGTACCATTTAAAGATCTTCCCGGTGGTTCTGCAGAGAGGCAGAGGCAGCTCCCCAGGCCCCAAGAGTCCTCCATGCTCCGGTTGCCCTCACCCTCCTGTAGTGGGTTTCTCTCCCTGCTGATTTAACACAGCATTGAAGGACACAGAACACACAGATTCAAAGACAGCTCACACTCAGCTCCCTACAAGAACCTCTCTTGGCCTGGCAGAAAGCCTCCCCCCCCCCCACACACACACACTGCGTCAGAGCCTGCTGACCTGTTTCCCCTGGGGATGGAGGGATTTCAAGCTTGCCTCTCCGTAATCTAGAAAGAAAATCAGTTCACGCAGTGGTACATCCCTGTGAGGCACTCTGAACTCCCAAGAGAGAGGGAAGACAGGAAATAGAAGCAGCCCCCACAACAGCTGGGCCAGAATGACGGAGACCGCATCACACAGGGCTGCCGTCTCCTTAGTCTGGGCAGATATGTGAGTGCTGGGACGCTGCAGCTCTTCTGACGTCCTGAGACCTGTCTCCAGGCTTTCGCAATTCCTTGTCTTGACCGCTGTGGACTTTGTCCACCAAGCCCAAACGCCCAGGCGTAGCTGACTCCAGTGCTCGGCCAGGTGCAGAGTTCTTGGGCCTGAAGTTTTTCTCATCTGTCTTGATGAAGAACTGTGTAATGTTTATACAAGAGCACACAATCTCCACAGTGGTTTTCCACAAACCTGATGGTTCTGTTGGATCTGCTGGAGGGGCTGTGGAGGGTTAAGCTGGGATGCTGTGCCAGGGTAGGGAGGAAGGTTTACAAGCCTTCCCTGCCCCACAACCCTGCACCTGCATCCCAGGAACACATCTTCTTGATTCAGGAAGGCAGGGCTGGCTTTAATGGCGAGTCTGCTGTGTGCCAGGCTCAGGCATCATGGCCCTTAATAAAGTCTAACACGGATCAAACGCTTACTCCAATTAGGGCAGTGGGCTCTGCCCATGCAGTACTGGGTGGCAGCGGCAGGTGCTGTCTTGTCTTTGGACCCTCCTGCCCAGGATGGGGGTCTTCCCAGATGTTAGCTCGCAGAAGAGCTTTCCCAGAGCCCCACCGTGAGGAGCTGCAGGAGCAGAGCAGAAACACCTCCAAGACTGCAGATGCCCCCACCAAGTCCTCATGGCAACAAGGCAAGGCAGGTGCCACTGGCCTCATTTGACAGAGGAGGAAAGGGGGGTCAGGGTGGCCCAGGCGCAGCTGTCCAGGCCTGGAGCCAGGAAGCAGAAAAGGCAAAGACAGGCGTGCGTGGTCTCCTGACCCAGAGGGAGCCAGCTGGGAAGGGGACACAAGGAAACTGGTGCTCACCTGTGCGACGGGGAGCCCCGCAAGATCAGGGACAGGGTCTGATTCTGCACCCCACACCCTTGGACCGGGCTGGCCTCACTCAGAATGGCCCAAGGCCATGTTTGGAGAGAATCCTGGGGCCAGCAGCAGGCAGACCCCAGCCTCGGGCCCAGAGGGAGCAGGTAGAGAGGCAGCAGCCCTGTCCAGGCCAGGGTCTATTGCTGAGGCTGGGGAAGAGACAGCAGGGGTCCTGCAGGTCCGGCCACAGGACAGGGAAGCTCTGAGCAGTGAAGGCGGGGACTGGCTGGCACTCCCTCGGCCCAGAGCATGGCGGAGCACTGGGAGGAGCTCTCTGTAGGCCTCTGAGCACCTGCTCTCCTATGCTGGGGGCCACTGCCTCCTTGCTGCTGCTCCTGACACTTCTTTTCTGGCCCTTCATCCCAGGCATGGTGAGAAGCCAGGGGCACAGCCCAGGGGTGCCATGCTTCCATGGAAGAGCTGGACAGCGAGAAACTAGACCCACACACCCGCCGACCAGCACGGCCCACGGCGAGTCCTGTGAGGATGTGGCAGGGGCACCGCGGTGGCCAGGGAGCAGACAATAGGAGCCGGGAAAGGAGCTGGGAAGGCAGCGCTTTTGACAGAGAGAAGTGCAAATGCACAGGGGCACTCGAGGGCTTAGGAATCTACAGGAGGTCAAGGTGGCCCCAAGCCCAAGGGAGGGAAGCACCCTGCGGCAGCCTTGCTCGGTGCCGGGGTAGGTCTGCAGCCTGGGACCAGGGGTGACCTTCCAGGATCCCAGCTTTACTTCCCCACGGTCTCCCACCCTCCACCATTCCCATCAGCCTTTGGACCCCAGAAGCCAGGACTGGCATCTTCCCCATTTGAGGCTCCCAGAAAAGTCTCTGAAGTCCCCTGCAGCCCCAGGACACGGGGTCTGGGGAAAGGAAGTTCCCACACACAGCTTCTCCCGGGGAGTTCGTGCGTGTTCCCAGGCTGACAACTGGCAGCCCTCAGCACTCATTCCCCCTTCCTCCTCCTCCTCCTCCTCCTCCTCCCTTCCTCCCTCTCTCTCCTACCCCCTCTCTGGCTTAATGACTTCCACATGGGCCTCTGGCGGCTGAAGCCAAGCCTCCCGGCATTGTCTGAAATCTCCAAATTTAGAAGAAATATGAAAATTGTCAACCACTCCTTCCTTAGGGGGTAAAAGCAACATTCGGTACCGGGGGGCAGGTCAAGGCGAGGCGGTCACGTGGCTGGCGCCTGGGCCAATGGCGGGCCCTGGGAGGACACAGCACCCGCCTTGCCCCAGCACGGGGCTCGCCTCTTCAGCTCATATAAGGTAAAAGGCAGAGAGGCCTCCGTGGCCAGGGAGCCGCGGGCAAGGGGCGCAGGGGAGGGGGGCCAGGTGCCAGCCACTTAAAAATGTCCCTGTGGCAGTGTGGGGTGCCAGAAGCTGGCTCAAGTGAGTTAAGAAGCAGTGACACCCCTAACCTTCCCCCAGACAGGCCGGCCCCCACCTTCAGGCCCCCCAGGAACCCCACCTGGACCAGACTCCTGGAGAGGTAAGGACCAGCGGCATGCGTGGGGTCGTGGGGTTGGTGACCGGGGCCCCCTCAGGAGACACTGCTCTCTCACAAACCACTCTGGGCCTCAGTTTCCCCTTCTGTACGAGGAACGGACTCATTCATGTCTAAGCGTCTGTCCAGCCCTGCCGAGCTCTACTTCTGCGTCCTTGTGGCTTCCCAGATGCCCTGCTGGCACGGATCAACCGGGACAGAAAGAGCAGCAGGCGTGGACCCCTGGGAGCCCCAGTCTGAGCTGGCCTCTGTGCTCCTTTGCATATAGAACTTGTTACTTGTTGTTGTGCAAGGTTTTGATTTCACAGCCCCAAAGGCAAGGAAAGAGGCTTTCAAGCCCGTGTTTCAGGAAAGAGTGACGCGGGAGAGCAATTAAGTCCAGGCTCCTGCAGACAGGCAGAGAGCTCCCGAAGGCTGGGGTGCCGGGGCGCACGGTGCAGCGGGAAGCAACCCTGGCTGGGGGACCATGGCGACCTGGGCTGCATGACCCTGGGCACCCCCTGCCTCTCTCTGGACCGGGCGCCCCATCTGAATTACGAGGCCAATGGACAAATGGTCTCTGTGCAGGATGTGGCTGCTGAGCTGTGTGAGCCTCGGTGTTGGGAGGCCCCCAGGGGGTTGCTGAGCCTGCTATTCGGCCACCGGCTTAGAGTCTGGGCAGACCAGTGCCCAGGCGAGCCTGTGGAGGCTGGCCTGAGCCCATGGAGAGGGGCTGTGGGGGTCTAACTACAGGCTTGGCCAGTGAGCAGCCCACAGTCCCCGAGGCCACAAGGAAGGGGCTGATCTCTGGGCTCACAGAGGCTGGAGTGAAGGGCCTCAGAGTGGGACAGGGACAGGCAAGCCAGTGGAGAGCTTCAGCGGCTGGGGTCGGGGGTACCAAGGAAGGCACCGCGGGAGGCAGGGCTGGGTGGAGGCTAAACACTGGAACTTACAGACAGAGCAGGCAACGAGGAGTTAGGCTCCTTGGGACACACTCTGGCCACCCCCAGGACCCAGAAGGGAAGGCAGCCTGGCCCACAGGCCCAGGCAACAACGTGGGTCCAATTCGGGCTTGTTTCCTTCTGGGACAAATGATTTTGGGCAAGTCCCTTGCCATCTCTGAGCTTCAGTTTCCTGCTCTGTAAAACGGGTCCAGTCCCGATTCTGTCTTGAGGAGGGAGGGATGTATGCATACAGGAGCCAGATCAACGGGGCAGGTGTTGCAGTACAGTGAGACTCCTCACCCCATGTGGGGTGTGATGACCTTGGCAATGCTCAGAAAGAAGTGGGAATGAGACCCCGCCGAGCAGCCTCCAGAGCTGCTGAAGGGAGACCTGGCTCTGGAAAGAGGCAAGAAGAAGGCAGAGGCCAGGGGCCCAGAAGAGCCATGGGCTGGCAATGCCCGAGGTGGGGTGGAGTCTTCCCGCCTGCACTGATGAGGCATAGGATGGGCGATGCGTCTCCTGGAGGACAGGGCCAGAACCACTGCACAGCTCCTGTCAGCAAGTCCTGGGGTGGGGTCTGGGAGTCTGCATCACATGCTCCCAGGGATTCCTGTACATGGAAGTTCTGGGAATGCTGGGCTCCCAAGTAGCCCGGGACCTTCCCAGCCAACTGAGGCAACTGACGCCATGGGGGAAGCACAGGTTCGCGTCACATAGGCACCTGCAGGCAGAGCTGGGTCAGAGCCTGCCTCTCAGCCAGCTGGGGGCCCCCTGGGCTGGGAAGAATGAGAATTATGTTGCAGTCATTTGTGGAGTGCTCATGGGTACAAGCACTACCTGCAGCCTTTACATGATTATTTCACTTGATCCTTGCAGAACCTTGCGATGTAGGTGCAATTGTTATCCCCACTGCACATGAGGTACCTGAGGCACAGAGAGGTGAAGTAGTTTGCTAAGGTCACACAGCTCATAAATGGTTAAGCCTGGACATAGTAAGCCACTGCCCCAGGCCACTGTCTAGCTGGAGACTGCTATCCCTGTCCTGCCCCTTAGCCACCCTAGAAAATCCTGGGGAGCCCCCAGCATATACCTCATGGGGGGACAGAACATGTGCACAGGGCTTTCCGGGAGCCAGGTTCTGAACTGAATTGCTAGCATTATCATCTGATTCTCCAACACCCCGAGTTTATGGAGAAGGAAACCTTGGATTCTCTATGGTTAGGAACTAGGAAGGAGCCAGGGGGATCTGAATCCATCCTGTGCCACCGCAGGATGCCCACTCCAAGCCCCTGCCCCCCTGCCCCACAGGGAGCTGTAACACAGAACCCCTTACATAGATGAGGCCATGAGAGGGCTGCACCCGAGCCTGAAACCACATCCTCGCCATCTGAGCTCACTGCTCTCCCTGCAGCCCCGCCGCTGCCCCAGGATGGGAAGGAGTTTGTCCCGGTCCCTGGAGCCACGCTGCGGCTCTGAGGGACTGCCCTCACCCAGCCTGGCCGTGGTAGGATGGGGGCCAACACACACAGTCTCAAGGAATAGCAAGGCCCAGACCCCGAACCACCCACGATACATGCACCTGGCTGTGTCAGAGTCCCCTGTGTGTGAGCCTGAGGGAGATGACCTCTGACGTCCTCGCTTGCCAGGCCATGTCTGGGCCTTGCGTGCCCCTGCAGTTCCCCCGCTAACAGTGCCACAGAGCGGCTCACAGAAGCGTGGGGAAAGTTGGTTCCCAATGGCTGCTGTTTGGAAGGTGCCTCTCTACATCTGCTAGTACGCAGAAGCCAGAGTTCCTCTGGGGTTTCTACCTATAATGGGGTGCTGTGCCCTGGGGTGCATGCCAGTGAACCCAGCATCAGATCGCTCTCCAACATGGCTGCCCCGAGCTAGGCTGCCAGCAGCAGTGTGTGCCCACCCGGCTCTGGCACCCACTGGAACTGGTCGGATTTTCTGAAGCAATGGGCTGCACACTTTACCTTGGATATATCAAATGTGTGCACTCAACCATGTCAGGGAGAAACAGAAATGCAAATGCAGGCGCGTGATGTGCAGCAGCCAGGCTCCCGACCATGTGGGCATCAGGAAATTCGCCCTGCCCACACCACGCGGCAGAACAGCCCAGGGCACGCACAGAGCGGGAGCAGGCACTGCCCGCGCGGCCCTTCCCACCCAGCAGGCTGCAGTGGCCGTGGTCCAATCAGAGGGAGACCAGGGCAAGGCGGGTGAGCGAGCTGCAGGAGTCGGGGAAAGAGCCCCATGGTGGCCGCCTGCTAACAGCCAGTCTAGACAGGCCCCACGGGGCTCCCCTGCGTGTTGCAGAGGGCGGGCAGCCCCTCCCCACTTGCGAAAGAGACTTGCTGGCGGCAGCACTTCGGCTCCGGAAACCTGTGCTGTGACACGAAACACGGCCATTGCTCAGCAGTGATCACCCGCGATCCCCCGCTCCCTCAGCCCCCACCCCCACCCCCGTGGGCCAGCGAGGAGGGGATCGAGGCTGAGCCCAGAGCCAGGCACGTTCTCAGAGGTGGGGGCGGATCCTGGCCCAGAATGCCAGGGAACAGGCAGAGTCAGACTGCAGCTAGGGCAAGGAGCCAGGCTGCCTGGCCTTGAATCCTGGGCCTGGGGGACCCTGGGCAATGTATTCAGCCAACTGCGAAATAGGCATGGTGGGCAAACCTGACTCAAGTTACTGAGTTGTCCGAGCTCTGAGTGTAAACTCATGATGCCCTTGGGACAGTGACTGGCATGTAGGAAGAGCTCAGTAAAAATAACTGAGGGGATCAGCCCTGAAGGCAGCTTCTGAGGGGTAGGGGTGCCCTACTGGGCTCTAATTCACCTCTGAAGCCTAGGGAATTAGCCTTGCTCCTTCAAAGCTAATCAAAAACAAGTGCCGTGTATCAGGTGCTCCGAGTGCCCGGCCCTTTGCCTAGCACTCGGAGGTAAACACTGTGATCACTCCAGGCTTCCAGAGACTCAGAGAGGGTGAGTGATTTATCCAAAGTCACAGAGCTTGTAAAAGGCCAAGCTGGAACTCAAACCCAGGTCTCGCTGACTCCGGAACCAGCCCAGGAGCCCTCTGAACCTGAACCAGTCCCACTTCTCATCTGCCCAATAGCTTGGTCTTTAGGAGAGAGGCCTGTGGAAGTGTGAGGCCACCAGCCAAGCCCAGGTCCCTCCTCAGAGACCCCTCCCCTGACCCAGAAAACCTGCATGCTGGAGAACACACTGGAAGCTCCCCTCGCCAGGGACACTGCTCTGCTGCCACTGGCTCCCGTCACAATACACACACACACTGTCCTCCTCCTCTTCTTTTAGGGAAGCAGGGATGAGCACGAGGTGTCCAGAGAGAGGCTGCTGGCCTGGGCAGGGCATTTGTTGTGGCCATGAAACCACCCCTGGCTGGGTAACCAGGCTTGGAGGCCCCTGGCTAGCCTACCTGGAGCCTGCTTGTTGTCCAACAAACCCAGGGGAGTTCTGAGTGCATCCACTGAGATAAGTGGAATAAGAGGTGGAGAAAGAGAGCTCAGCCATGCTCCGCAGTCAGCACACTGGGGGCAGCGCCTCTGCCCTGCTGGCTCTACAGGCTGTGACACCCCATGGTTGAGAAGGCAAAGGGGATGGCTTAAGTCCTTGTGAGTGTGACAGTGATGCCCAGGCTCAAAGAGGGAGTCCAGTGGGTAGGGGTGGTTTGGGCAGCAGGTGCACTTTGCACAGAGAAGGAAGAGGCATGTAGGTGCAGGTGGAGGACTCTGTGTGCAGAGCAGGGAGGCAGGACTGCAGGGACATTCGCAGGAGCACAGCAGAGAAGCCCATGGGGCTGGAAACAAACTCAGGCTAGAAGCTCCACGGAGGTTAGCAAGGTGGGGAAGGCTTGGACCATGGCATGGCTTTTGCAACCAAACCCCAGAATCTGGGACAAGTCCTTGTATCTGTCCCAGAGAGGGAGACTCTCATTTACCTGTTCATGTTCATCCCCAAAGCCTTACTCCCCGGTTCAGGAGACAGGCTGGGAATCTGGACACTGGGCAACTCTCAAATGTCAGACAATGGGTCAAGGCAGCC